TCGCCGAGCGTCTTCTGTCTCCCATCATGAAGAACAATTCTTTTCTGAGCCCAAAAAACAAAATCAGCGTCTACAAGACAATAATACGTCCAACGTTACTCTACGGAGCACCTGCTTGGAGCTACATATCCAACACCAATAAGAAAAAGCTCCAAGTATTCCAAAATAAAATTCTCAAGAACGCCCTTTCACTGCCAATGGACGCCCGAACGGCCGAAGTGCATCGACTTGCTGGTATAAACACCATCCTCGAATACTTCAATGAAGTCTCACTCAAATTCTTCAGTCGTTCAGCTTACGGACCTACCCTAACAAGAAACCTTGCCACCCTCAAATTCGACCCACACAACCCAGTTAAGCACCGACCCATTCACCATAGATTGCCAATATATTTCGAGCCGCCTTGAGGCGACGAGCGAATGTAATTAAATTAGCAACTTTTCATTAGAATAGTTCACTAGGACTAGCAATACCATTGGTGCGCCGAGGTCCCACCCACGGCGCGCCCACCTGATTTAATTGCAAACGCTCTGCTCGGAAATTGGCGCAAGCTATAAGTTTTCAAACCAAAAAAACGTGGAGAAGGGTTTTTTAAATTTTCCCTTCATGAATATCTTGGCAACTATGGAATGACACCTGGACACTAAAATACTAAAACACGAATTAAAGTCGAAACTGTGAATAGGTCTATAAGGAGCATCACTGCGTGCCCCAGTAAAGCGCCAAAACTGACTGATTGCCACTACTACCCCTATTATACATCGTTCTAAATTCTGGCCACAACATCGCCTGGTGCCCTTGTCAGTACTTTAGAATTCAGACATATGATTATAGTAGGCTAAGGTAGTTTTAAGATATTTGTAATGTTGGAAATAAAGATTTTAATGCTAAAAAAAATGCATTGAAACCACACGTACATGTATCAACTTCCTTAGGGACGTCAGAACGACAACTTCACGAAGAGCTAGCGCAGCAATGTCCCATCGCCCAGGGTGGAGACATGAAAAATATTGTCCGACTTGGTGTTATGAAGCCACTCAGGAAGTTGGGCGTGTACATGAGTTACAAAATTTTAAGGTCGATGTACTGGGGACTATTTAGCTTGTAGATTAATCGCCATTGATAACCCTAATAAGCTGTGTTAAAGGATTCATAAGTTAATCATATTTTAGACAAACTTTGTTAAAAGACATTACTAAATTTTTGAATGTATTTTTTTGGCTGCTAACTTCACAATTTTGGCTGCCAGAAAAAGACTGCTAACTTCACACCGGTTGACTTACATGAATCTTGGGTGAATCGTAATAAGCTCATTTGAAATTGATAAGTATTGTAGTTTCAACAAATAGAAATATTATAATAACCGTCAGCTGATTGTCTATTGGGGGAAAAGCCTTCAGTCAGCCGATAGAAAATTCCGCGCGTCGTATAATTGCATGAGCGCGCTCATACATTTTCGCCCTGACTGATGGTCTTACCCCCACTAGACAGGCAGCTGACGGTCATTATTATATTTCTATATATGTATGAAATCATGTGTAAAAATTTCAAGCGAGATGAAATAATTTGAAATTCATATTTTTTTGTCAAGTTCACGCGCTCGACTGACGCATCATCCCCCCTCTGCCGCACGGCTGACGGTCTTTTTCTTTTGCTAATTGTTATAAATAATGTGTGTAAATAATTTCAGCTGGGATGAAATAACTTTAGAAAACCTTTTTTTCACGAGTTGCGCAGCCTCCCAAGTGCCCACCCACCGCCACTAGACTGGCTGACGGTCGGTTTCGTCATTAGGAATGTGACTACAATGCACGGTATTAATCTCAGCCGTGATGAAATTCTTAGAAAAAAAAGCCGCTGCCTCCCGGACTATTTAGGTATACTACTACTTGTAAAATTCACATTATATACCTTCAAACTTTTCCAACAAGTAGGAGTAGTGGGACAGCTTGTTTGCCTCCAAAAATTCTTGTATTGGGGCCATCACCATTTCCAAACAGGTTTGCAAGATAATTTTGTTCACCTGACGCACTGATATCCTAGGCAACACCATAGGAAATAGGATATAACTGTTGTGATATAAGTTTAAAAAAAAAACCATGGAACCTCCGAACTAAAAACTAAACGCAGGTCAGAGCAGGTCGCAGGCAGCAAGATACACTAAACTGCTAGGTACTACACAACTGGGTTGGAGGGCATCGGCAGAAACTTGAATTTTGAATAAGATTTTGGAATATTCCATCAAAAATCAAGATTCTTGGCCTAAATAACAAGGAGCTTGACAATTATGTAATAAAAGATTATTCTTGGTATAAGAGAATATAATTTTGCCTGAAAGAAATGCCATTCAAGCGTAATTTTAAAAAATATCAAGAACCACGAAATTCTCAGAACAAAGTAATTTTTCTTGACGCAGTAGAATAACTCTTCATATAAGATAATTTATTTCAAGATCACTGAATACCTTGAGGTAAGGGGAGCTGTTTTTTCAGTGTAGGATATAACAAGACAGAAAAAACGGCAATCAGGTGTAGCCATAGCCAGAAGCATAACCGACTCTAGAAAAATTTCACAACTTATATCCCCTTCCCAAAAAGAAACTGGATGGATCAGAAGTTTGTTGGGTTACACACATCCCAATACCAATAGTCGACTTTTTTATGAATTTAAAATCATTAAACGATGAAGGCCAAGAAGATGAAGTTTGTCTAGCAGGTCCAGCTGAATATGACGAATAATAGAAGTGTTTGCCTTTTTTTTTAAACTTTTTTCGGATTTTTTTTTATTTTTCTTTAAAAATTGAAACAAATTTAATTTTCAGTCAAATTTTGATTAATAGAAGCTTTAAAAAAAAAAAGAAAAAACGTTTCAAGTGAATTAAAAATGGCCTAAGTACCGTTCTAACTAACAATAAGGCCTAAGTAACACTTTTTAGGTCCCAAGTGCTACTTGTCACCTATCACAATTAGGGCTTATGTACATTGATAAAAAAATGAAGGGGCCTAACAATCGAAAGTATGTTAAAATTTAAAGATTTAAAAAAAATAAATGTATTATATGAATAATTCTGCTTTTTAGTAGACCCTACCAAAATTTTATTAAATTCGAAAAAGTAACAATGAAGTAATAATCATTTTAAGTTTTCATACAAATCCTCGATTATCTCAAAACTTGATTTTGTTAGATAGGCCTTTTTTCGACCAAGCCACAGATTTGCTATTTGCTTACCATGTGCGAAAATCTTGTTATCTTTTTTTTAAGCCTTTTTCCTTTAGTCTCTCTTGACTTTCATTCTTCCCCTTATTGGAGGCCTTGTTTTCCTCCGATACACGAGTGCCGGTTGCCCATCAACCCCCTAGTACTCCAGAGGTACCTTACTGGACCACTCCAGTCGGTCTTACTGCTCCCCCTACTTGCTAGAACATCCCTAACCACCAAGAAGATTTGTGGAGGACCCTCAAACCTCACTCCACGTCAGGTAGATTCCGGGGTCGCTGTAAGATTTGCACAAAGCAAATAATCAAGGAACTGCCTGTAAGTCAGTTGTTTCACATGTGTGTATTGCCCTGGGTCTTGAAATCATTTGGTTACACTCCAGCTGATTGGTAGTGAAGCTCTGGGGTCAAAATAAATACTCACCCCGTAATTATTACCATCATAAGTATTGTTCAGCATACCAAGGGTTTTTTTTTAAGAAGCAGAACAATATATAGCCAGATAGAGGCCTAAATTACCAATAAAGAACTTTGGTGTTTTGTTTTAATTATAGGAGTTATTACCTTATTATTTATTCTTGTATGTTCTTAGTTTTAGGCTTAACCTAGAATAGAAAAGGTACTGTAAACCGGGAAAATAGGCCTATTTCGAGGGTAAGCAACGTTTTTGATTGTGTATTGAATTTATTTTAAATCTAAGGTTATTTTTAATACTGAACATATTTGGGGTATGGATAATTATGCCAAAATACCTTTTTTTTATTAAACTGAGCCGCTTTCCAGTATGCACATTGGGGCGCTCTGGCGCGCTCCAGAGCACCTCGGTGGCGCCACGCACTAGAGTTGTACCGTTCCAGTATCATGGCGTGAGACGCCTGTCTTAGTGTCAAATATGTCAAATTTTAAAAATAATTATCTGTTTGTTTGTGCAGTTTGTTTTTTTATTCATCCAAAATGAAAGAGAATCAAAACTATATATTTTAAAATGATCAATCTTGAGATATAACAAGAAATAAATAGATAAATAGCCACCCACAGATGTGACAGCTGATAGGTTGACACGTACGTACAGCTCAGGGGCTCAACGCCCCGAGTAGCTCCGGGCGTCACACTCCCATACTGGAAAGCGGCTCTGATAAACATCATTGTTAAATCCTGAACGAACCGAATCAAGCAAGCAAGATAAACAAAACCATACAATTTAATTTCCAGTGATTTTCTTTTATTTTCCCTTTACAGCTGATTTTGGACATTTAGAATTTTCAGTTCTTTAAAATGTAAGTCGGCGTTGAAGAATCTTGTGTAGGTGCTTCTCTTTGAAAGGTGTCTTCAATTTGAAGCATTTTGAATTTTCTTATTTTGAATTTAAGTCTTTAATCATGGATTTATATTCCCGATTTTTTGCCTCTACTTCTCGACTATTTTGTTTAGTCACGATTTCTTTCTGATGTCTTCAATTATTTTGTGATTTCCACTTATAGCGCATGATAAGCAGAAGTATCGAACTTTTTGAATAGTTGTGTAGTTCACAGATCTTACAGGTTACAGCGCGACAATAGTCGCTTACGCACACTCAAAAATATCAGTGTTATTTTCCGGTGATTCTTTGAAGACGCAATTGTTATCAAATTTGGAGCATTTTTCAGATATTATAAAAACTTTTTCGTTGAAAAAAACGGACGTGGCGTAGAATCGCTCGCCAAGTCAAGAAAACTGCTTCAGTTACAAATAAAATATTCAGTACGAATTACTTAGCAAGTTTTTATTTTCATTTTTTTTTTCTAGAAAATGGGAACATTAGACTCGAGCCACAATCACAAAAGATTGGCTTGGAATAATTCTACTAGCCCAGAGCCGCCTGAGGATGACCAAGGCCGTACCTAGCACAGGACCCAAAGAAACCCCATAGTGTCTTTTATAGTGATTCTTTACGCGACTATTTGTATATTTGCAGAAATGGAAGATATTTTAGAGAGAGTCTTGGACTTTGTATTTAACTATAGCGGCAAAAATTTAAACATATTGTAATAAGGAGCTTTGAAAAAAAAAAAACGTTATATGTCCCTCGTGTTTTTTTTTGTGCAGGGATTTAGCTATATATTTTGTTCGTATGTTTCAAGAAAACATACTAATAAACCAAAAAAAATTGTCTTATTGTCAAAACTGTTAAATTAGTAAACATTTATAGATGTTATAATGATCTCCCTTTGGTTAAAGTGAGTATTTAGACTATATTGACTGTTTGACAACATAATGCCAAATTGGACAAAGATATTTATATCGTTTTGTTGGCCCCATGGACTAAACTCAAGGTTGAGGTGCAAAGTTCAAAAGGGTTGGGATTATGTTTAAATTCAATCCAACGTAAAGTATGTAGGTAGATACACTGCTACACTACGACTATCTGACTTATGTGAAAATAAAAATTATATAAAAACAAGAGATTCCACATGAGGCCATTTATTTGTTCTTGTTTTTGTGCGCTTCGATTTGTGTTTTTGAGCATCACCAAGCCGGAGACATAAAATCGAAGAATGGTTAGAGCTAGTATGTGAATGCCTAATCGTAAAATTCGATTAATTGCTCCCACCAACCATGAACTAAACGTTAACCGTACGTCAACCTCGATTGGTGTTACCCAAACAGTCAATATGTATTATCCAACAAAATAGATATAATATTAACGCAAACCCCATTAAATAAGAGAAATTAAAAAGTAGTATGTAGGTATTTTATCATTGACTGATATTTTGTTTAACAAAAAATTATTATCTTCTATTAAAAAAGGTTTATTATGTATCTTGTTTCACACTCACACTATTGAAGAATTCAATAGTTTCTAGAAACACTGGAAACTTTTTTTGAACAAACTCAATCCTTATTTTATTATACGGGTAACCCCAAGAGGTCATATTTTCTTTATTCCTGCTGAGCTCTACAATATCAAAACGTTTGCCAACAAATAATCGAAAATCAGGCAGGACCAATCAGAGAATTATCTGATTTCTAAGCATTTTCTTTGCATATAAAATCAAAATTATGATTTTGGCAACAATATTGTTTTCAATCCACTGTTGCCGCACTTCCGTGAAATCTGACACTAAACGATTTTTGTACAATGAATTTTATATACAAAAACAGTACCTATGTATTTATTTTCCTTTACTTAAGAATTAAATAGACTTAGGTATTTATTTTTAAACTATTATAAAATATATTATATTATGTAATTGATTGATGTAATATACATATACAAGAAATATATCATTTTTCTCTAGATTTTGTAGTTTTGTGTTGGGAGTAATTTGATTTTCCCTACTTTTTGGCTTGAAGTTCTAATCTTTTTCTTTGACAAATAAGGACATGTCTGCACTTTTGTAGATACTTGATGGATGTTCAGAAAATAAATCAATAAAGTTTTGTCAAATAATTTTCATTTATTTGGAAAAATATTCAAGGATAATATTTTTTTTTAAATGATACCTAAGCGAAAAACTAGAGAATTCGAGGACGCATGCTATGGGAACACTCGTTCGATAAAACATTAGCGATAAATGGTGAATTAACAGAACGATATGTAACCGGCAATAGTTTCTTGAACTGGTAAGATTATTTACAAAGTAAGAGGACTCTGTAGCGGAAATTCCTGGTTGAAAAATCCGCGGTGCAACAGTTAGACTTCTGTGTCTGTATTTAGGCTGGACTTTTGTGACTTTTTTTTTGTGGGGTAAGTGACTCCAGAATCCAGGAAAAATTACTACAGTTTTCAAACTTGGGGTTACAAGAAGTAATTAATATTGCCAGATCCATGGAAAGCAGTATAAACACACAGCATGAAATTGCTAAAAACACTGGTTTGGACTCAACTGATGTGAGCGTTATTAAAAATTTTTTTCCGAAGAATCGTCAATCTCCAGTACATGAAAAATGTTTATCAAGGCAATTTTCCAAGTTGAAGATTGGTACTCAAAAATGTTGTGGATATTGTAGTGCCTCTCAATTTAACAGAGACGACAATTCAAACTTCAAGCCAGTTAATGTAACATTTCAATGTGGTAAGTGTGGTTTAAGTCATCCTAAAAATAGATGTCCAGCTTTCAGAAGAATCTGTTCTGGTTGTGGCCAACCTGGACATTACCGTAAGTTTTGTAAACAGCCGGTTTATGTTATTGAACAAGATATCTACACTTGCGAGAATATCGAGGAACATGTAGTCGATGATAGTGAATGTGACCATTCTGTTGCCGAAAATGCTTGTGGCTCGTCTTGCGGCGTAAAAATTAATGGGGATAAAGATGATTTTCCGGTTAAATGGACTATCTTAGAATACTCTGTTAAGTCGATAGAATGGTTTGAAAAAATTCATATTAACAATTTGGTTGTAAAATTTATACAGGTAGTTCAGTTAATATTTTAAATCAGAAAGACTTCAATTTATTGAAAATAGGGTGGGATCAACTTTCTCCAGTTTCATCAAAATTGTCTTCTTATTCTGGTCATAAAATAACTGTAATTGGTCAAATTGACTTGCATTGTATTTTTGAGAATTCCACTAAAATTTTGTCTTTTTATGTTTCAAATAATGCGGGACCGAAATCAATTTATTTTAGGACTACCTGGTATTCAAGCTCTCAATATAATCAAGACTCAAATTAAAACTACTCAAAAAACTGAATCGGTATCAAATGACATTTCAAACCCTGTTAACTCATGTAAGTAACTTTAAAAACATGAAAAATTTAGACATTAATGTACAAAGAATACTTGACAAATTTAAAATAGTTATTTTTGTATCTAGGGCGCGAAATGCTACTTTGGTGATCGAGATCTGATTTTTTTAACGAGGCGTAGCCGAGTTAAAAAAATATTCGAGATCACCAAAGTATTTCGCGCCTGAGTTGCAAACAATATTTTTTCTACAACTCCATTTAAATATCGATCATTCGAAGCTAAAATTGCATTTTCAAATAAAAGTAGGTGAATTTTAATTATTTTTGGTTTCCTGACAGGTATGTGTTACCATGACACCCAGTGTGCGAACTAGCTATTTCGCGCACACGTGCGCGAAATAGCTAGTTCGCGCACGGCGTCATGGGAACGTTAAAAAATCAATACCTGGGAAAAAAAGTGTGACTTCGCAAACTGTCATGAGTGTGCGAACATCATCATTTTTTGACAGTTGTAGAAAAATGTTTTTCACGGTATAGATATAATAAACAAAAAACACAAAATCATTTTAGAGGATAACGCAATACCTTGTATCAGTGCTTGTAGGAAAGTTCCTATTGCTTTAAGAGTTAAAGTAAAGCAAGAGCTAGATAAGCTTGTTAAAGATAACATCTTAGTACCTGTGGATGAGCCTTCAGATTGGGTCAACCCGATTATGGTGGTTCCTAAACCTAATGGTTCCATTCGTCTGTGTATGGACCCAAGAAATCTAAATAAAGGACCGACCCCGCAATATATTTATGAAAATTGGTTACTCGTGATATTTGGATGAAATTTAAATATGTTATTGGGAATGCCGTAAGCAACATTTTTTACCACTGTATATATGACAGGTGAGGCGTGGTTAGCTGTCAAATATTAGAATCTTATATCCAAAAGCAGAGTGACTATATGGCAGATTTTGATGAACGAAGTATCGATGACTACTGCTAAGTCGACCAAGTTAAGTCAAAAAATGTCAACCATTCTCACACCTGTCAAAACCCTGCCAAACGCCAGCACTCATCTTTTCCCGTTTTCAATATTTTATGATGTCGTTTGACATTTTCAACTTGTATGTAAAGGACCCCGCAATATTTAAATGGAAATTGGTTACCCGTGATATTTGGATGAAATTTAAATATGTCATTGGGGATGCCGTAAGCAACATTTTTTACCATGGGCACAACCCTGTATATATGACAGGTGAGGCGTGGTTAGCTGTCAAATATTGGAATCTTATATCCAAAAGAAGAGTGACTATGGCAGATTTTGATGATCGAAGTATCGATGTCTACTAAGTCGACCAAGTCAAGTCGAAAAATGTCAACCATTTTGACACCTGTCAAAATCCTGCCAAACGGCAGCACTCATCTTTTCCCGTTTTCAATATTTTATGATGTCATTTGACATTTTTAACTTGTATGTAAATTCTGAATTCAAAAATTGGAAAAAAAATGACAGAACTGTCAAAACCTGTCATTTGTTTTAGTAGAAAAAAATACTCTAATCTGGTTCTTTTTTGTTTCAAGGTAGTTTAGCGGTGATAAAACATTAAACAAAGTTCATGCATGTCACATTTTGACAACTGTCAGAATCTGTTAATAGATTTTTGGTTCATATTGAGTTTGTTTGCTTAGTGAGGGTTTAGTTCTATTGTATTATTGTATTATTCTATCATTATAGTTGTAGAACTTCACTAAGCAAACAAACTCAATATGAACCAAAAAGCAAAAACAGATTCTGACAGTTGTCAAAATGTGACATGCATGAACTTTGTTTAATGTTTTATCACCAATAAACTACCTTGAAATAAAAAAGAATCAGATTAGAGTATTTTTTTCTACTAAAACAAATGACAGGTTTTGACAGTTCTGTATTTTTTTTTTCAATTTTTGAATTCAGAATTTACATACAAGTTAAAAGTGTCAAATGACATCATGAAATATTGAAAACTGGAAAAGATGAGTGCCGCCATTTGACAGGGTTTTGGCAGGTGACAAAATGGTTGACATTTTTCGACTTAACTTGGTCGACTTAGTAGAAATAGATTTTTTGTTCATCAAAATCTGCCATAGTTACTCTGCTTTTGGATATAAGATTCCAATATTTGACAGCTAACCACGCCTCACTTGTCATATATACAGGGTTGTGCCCATGGTAAAAAATGTTGCTTACGGCATCCCCAATAACATATTTAAATTTCATCCAAATATCACGGGTAACCAATTTCCATTTAAATATTGCGGGGTCCTTTGGAATTCAAAAATTAAAAAAAAAAAAAAAATTACAGAGCTGTCAAAACCTGTCATTTTTTCTAGTAGAAAAAATAGTTATTTGTTTCGCTAGGCAGAAAAGTACAAGATTTAATGCCGCGGCTGGTGTTTCATAGCCGAGGCCAGGAAACCAGCCGAGGCATTAAATCTGCTTTTCTGCCATGTAAAACATATAATTTTTTCTCCGAATGTTCAAATTCACACATGGACATCTTTTTATATTTATTTCATTCATTATTATTATCCAAATAATTAAATTATTTTGACAATTGTCATTGTCACCATCAATTTCAAATACCAAATTGAGTGAAATTATTACCTGGAACGTTGTGACACTGTCACTTTTAATGCCTAGGCAGTAAAAGTGGACTTTTACTGCCTAGGCAGTAAAAATACAACTTTTGATCCTGTCAAGTGTCATTAAAAGGCCGCTTTTACTGTCATTCGGAGAAAAATACTTTTATCTGGTTCTTTTTTGTTTCAAGGTAGTTTATTGGTGATAAAACATTAAACAAAGTTCATGCATGTCATATTTTGACAACTGTCAGAATCTGTTAATAGCTTTTTGCTTCACATTGATGGCGCTTCCGATTGGTAGATCTAGTGCAGAACTTGTGCAATTTTTTTTTATTTCTGTCTTTTTCTTCTACAGGTCAATTAAAAGGATGCAAATAAACTTAGTGCGCATTGAAACTACGTGAAACTACCAATCGGAAACGTCATGAGTTTGTTTGCCTAGTGAAGTTCTACAACGGGCATAAAATTGATTTAGTTCTATTGTATTTTTGTATTATTGTATTATTCTATCATTCTAGTTGTAGAACTTCACTAAGCAAACAAAACTCAATATAAACCAAAAAGCTATTAACAGATTCTGACAGTTGTCAAAATGTGACATGCATGGACTTTCTTTAATGTTTTATCACCAATAAACTATCAATAAAACAAATGACAGGTTTTGACAGTTCTGTCATTTTTTTTTCAATTTTTGAATTCAGAATTTACATACAAGTTAAAAATGTCAAATGACATCATGAAATATTGAAAACTGAAAAAGATGAGTGCTGCCGTTTGGCAGGGTTTTGACAGGTGTCAAAATGGGAAATAGATTTTTTGTCCATCAAAATCTGCCATAGTTACTCTGCTTTTGGATGTAAGATTCCAATATTTGACAGCTAACCACGCCTCACCTGTCATATATACAGGGTTGTGCCCGTGGTAGAAAATGTTGCTTACGGCATCCCCAATAACATATTTAAATTTCATCCAAATATCACGGGTAACCAATTTCCAT